TCGTTATATCGGGTGATTTCGGTTGGCAGTTTAGACAATGCAATCATGAAGAATAATGATTAGTGTTAAGTGTCATATGTTGGATAATTGATACATTTTATCATTCACACTATCGTTTCCAATCTTTCACTGTAATTTCTTTTAATTTTCAGATTGATCATTCATCGCTAGCAGATTTGTTACACCCATTACAACTTTTATATAATGAAGTGTTGACTAAGGCACGTTTAAGGCTTGAATATGATGGCCTTTTGCAGTCTCCTGCGACTACTTCGAGCAGCAGGTGATTTTTTCTTTTCGTTTCAGGCAATTAACAATGTGGTGTTAAAAAAGAATAAATTTCATCTCAATTGAGCAATTGTTAATAATTTTGAGTATTTTGAGTATTGAGTATATGCTACATGATGACTACTGAACCTAACCGTTTAATATATCAACTGGTTAAACTGTCGATTTTGAACTACTTAGTATCAGTTGCACGGTAATTTTTTTTCTAAATGGGAATTTTTGAGGGCTCATGAAATATGTTGCTCTGTTTTTTGATATTATCACGAAGTCACATTGGGTCAAATGTCTCGTGGAACTATTCGAAGTTAATACATATATTGACTTTGAAAAATATTTTTCAATTACAACGTGGGAAATTAGCACTTTTTTAGTGAACTTCACAAGAATCCGGATGAATATGCGATGGAACGGTATATGTATGTGCTGTGTTTTAAATGTAAAAAGGCTTATTTTGGTGGTGAAAGTCGTTGTCAGCAAGTTGGTTTTGTTAATTTAATTCAAAATTTTAGGATTTTTTGGAATCTAACTGTTCAGCTAGTTACATCACGACTTGTTTTCTTGAAATCTAGCTTGCTTTTGAAGTGAGCTTCTGATTCTCTTATTAAAAATAAATGAGAAAAATCGTATTTTTTCCATTCTTCTCTAATCTTATTTTGTTTGCTCACATCTTTTTTCAGAAGTTCCTTTAATATTTTTAATCTGCAAAATTCCCGTTGCAATTAATTGATTTTAAGAAAGAAAAAGCAATTATTTAAGGAACTGGACAATTCACAGTATAATCCTGAAGAATTGATCTGTGGGGGCTGTTCGGATGTTGTGGGTGCACAAATCTGTGGACGTCATGGAGTAGACTTCCTTGAATTTAAATGTCGTTTTTGTTGTTCTGTTGCTGTTTATTTTTGGTTCGTTATTACGAGTTAGCTGTTTTGAAATCGAATTTAAATGTTGCTTAAGTTTTATTAGATGTTAAATTGTTGCAAAAAACCAAGAAGTTTGTAATCACTTTTCAGCTGCTGATAAAACATGTTAACAGTTTTATCCAGCATTATTTATTTCCATTTATGTTGCAGCTTTGGTACCACACACTTCTGTACGGCATGTCACGATGATTTCCAACGATTGATGTGTTTGCCGAAGAAACTGCTACCCAAATGTCCAGCTGGACCGAAAGGAGTACAGTTAGAAGAAAGTGAATGTCCATTAAGGGTAAAACATCCACCAACAGGTGAAGAATTTCCACTTGGTTGTGGCATATGCCGGAATATTCATACATTTTGATTTAATCAACAAGATTTTCGAAATTTTGTCGTTTTGCATTTGTCATGTTTTTTTTAGTTGTTGTTTAGCATTTCTTAATGTATTATTATTAACTTAGCGCTTATTAATTTGAAAATAACAGACAGTCCTGCTCAAACATGGATAATAACATAGATGGTCTGTTTAAGTGGTACTTGTTTTTCTTTTCAGTTTCTTTTTAAAAACTGAGTACTGATGGAAGGAAATTTCTTGAGTCTTAAAATAGACTGAATAATCTTTTTGATTGGGATATTGCATCACGACGTGTGTGGCGTATTTTTCGTGTGACATTATGATAGAATTGCATGGACAGATGAATTGAAGACGAGATTTAATTGTTAAACAAATATGATTCTAAATTCTTACTTCTTCATTAATTTGTAGTTTTCCGATTTATTAATTTAGAAGTTTTTTTGCAGTGGAAATTTGTAAATATTTGAAATTTATGTCGTTATTTATTATTTTATGCGCAGTGATAGGTCAAACTGTTTTGAAATACCTGTAAGGATACATATCTCAGGGATAGACGACTGTGCAGTTTCATTGACATTCACTGCCATAAACTAAATTTTTTTCCATTCGACGAATTTTTTAACACTCTGACATTATGATGTAAAAGTTGAGGCCAAAAAAATTTACAAATAAAGATTGTGATTGGAGTAAGGATTAGGAGCACAATCGTTTCAAATGTTTGCCCAATAAAGGATGAGTCTGATTTGTAGTCCCGATGGGTTTGAATCAGGCTATATGGATTAGAAAGAAAAACTTTTGGAAGCTGCTCATTTATAAAAACTATCAAATTCCAGATTTAAATCCGATCTCTTATGTTATTCCGATAAATTTTATTTTCTTTTGGATTGTGATAGATTGTTTATTAATTTATTTATTCTTTGCAATTGTTGATCTTATCATTAGTTTTTTTTTTCCGAAGTTCTCACTTAAATTTCTGTTTATGGTTTAGCTTTCAACTGCTAATGAAATTCCTCATAGAGATTCTCTCTTGGTTTTTTTTTTGTTATCGATCTTTTTTTTCTTGTTTCGCTTTTTCTTGCCAATATATTGTTTATGTTCTCTAAAAAAAAAGAAAAGAAAAGAAAAAGCTTTGTCTTCTTTCCGCAAATTTATGTGAATTTTAACTACTTCAAATAACATAAGTATAAATAATATTGTTGAAGAATAGAAGTAAATGTGAAAAGAAAAAAATTATTGTATAATAAAAAAAATCTATCACAGAGAATATAATATAAAAGTTCTCATATATTTCCTACTGCATTCTTATTCTTGAAGAGATTTAAAACAAAAAAAAAAAATCCTTATCTAATAATATTATCAGTTAACGAATTTTTTATAGTTGGAGCAAAATTCTGTGGAATATAAGAACAAATTTCAATTATTAAGTGCTGTAATTCAAATTTTAAAAATGCTTAAAAAAATAATAGAAACATTAATTGAAAAAAGAAAGTATAATATAGCTAATGTGGAAGAATATATGTCCCAAAAGTTGCAGTCAGGCTAAAAATGCTGCTACAGCATGGCTGTCAAGGAGAAGTTCAAGCAGTCAGAATTGCTGACAGCATGATTAATTAAACTTGGCCATCCTAACGGATATGTATTATTAATGGTGTTCATGAATTTACAGTCCAAGTGGCATTCCGCTAGGCTCTTAATATTGCTAATTAGGAGCGAATTAAAATTATGATTAAAATGTTCTGTATTGTATTATAATCAATCGATGTATTATGTGAAGCTTTTTTTTCGGATTTTTTCCGAAATGAAAAATCAAAATGTTACAACGGAGCAAAAAAGTAAAAGTTTACATCATTGATTATAATACTAAAGTTATCCGATTAATATTAATTTCTTGCATAAATTATTATTTCGATCTCGTTATTCTTTGTTTAAAAAAAAAAAAAACCAATGCACTTTTTCATACAACCCGTTTTTACAATTTCAATCCTGTTTTAAAAGTTCTATGTGGGCATTCGATTTCTTTTTTTCTTTTATGGATGTAAATTTTTTTTCAAAATTTTCAAGATTTTCAACTCTACAGCTAATTGAGAACTTTGAAAAGCAAATGAATGAGCTTTTTGAAATTTTGAAGCTAAATTTGCAAATCTAAATCTAAAATTTGAATTATGCTGATTCCCAAATCGTTTTTCATAAAACTTTCGTTTGTTGTTGTATTCTAATAATAAATTTAATGCTCGCAGTATTAATTCAAGTTCCTAAATGGTAGTATTAATTAAGTATCAAAGATATTTACGCAATGTAGCGAACGTGAACATGCAGTTTTGTAAAAAGCTATCTAAATTGATTTGTTATAAAAATTTCTAATTTTAACTTAGTAAAATTGAAAAGTTTAATATTGACAGAGTGATATGAAATGTTGCAAAATGAAATGTTTTTTTTTTCTTTTGTAAAAAATCCTCCATTTATTAAGCTCAAAAGAAAAAAAAAACTGTAATAAATTTTTTGACATAAAATGAATTGAAATATTTGATTGTTTAAAATTCATTGTTTAACTTATGGTTATGTCATATTTCATTTCTCAGTTGTTTTCAAGCCTCAAATATTAAATAGCTTAGCTGTTGGTGCCAAAGCTATATTCGATAATTGTTTTAGAATGCAATATTGTGCCTTATGTTATATGCAATTAACACAAAACCTTTTTTGCGACAATTAAACAACGAAGTTTTTAAAATTTCAAACATTTCTTAATTCAATTCATAAATGTTTTTTTATTTAATAAAAAATTGTATAGAATGAAGAAAGATTCATTTTTCTAGATATTTCAAGAGATTTCTCGTTGTAAATACAAGCAGGCAAGTGCTATTTCCTTGATTGCATTTTTTTTTTCTCAAATATTTTTTTTTTTCGGAAAAAATTTTCCAAACATTGAATGTTGACGATAACTTTTTGCAAGTTTAAAAACAAACTCAATTAGTCTAACATTTGTTTATATTAGAAAGTTTTTCGTTTAAATTTATTCGATAAATCTTATATCTGACATTTTTATCAGTACTTCAGAAAGGATCGCGTTAATGATAAATAGCAAACATATATATATATAATTTTAAAAAAGTTTATTTTAAATTAGCACTATTCAGTTTTTTATTTTGCAAACTTCGTACTTCCTCATCATTAATCAAAAGTAATTGATTTAAGCTCAATTGATTACATTTATATTCTCATACGTACAAAGCAAAACAACGCAAGATTCACGACAATTTTCATTCAATGGAGTTGTTTCTTGATCTCATTCTCACACTTTCTTATAAGTAGTTAAGAAGTTAGTGCTGAAATTTGTCAAGAAAGAATTAAGTTAGAGTATTGAGAGGGAAAGAAAGAGAGATTAAGTTAATGATGATAAAGCTAAAAAATGTGAAGAAAACATAAATGAAGAAAATGTTTTAATATAAATCATGGAGCAAAATATGCAATATAAATGTATCTAAAATTAATTTTCATACTATGATGTTTTGATTAATTCATTTTAATAGCAGTGAAAATTTTTTTGACAAAAACAATTAATTTGATTAATAAGCTAATTTTTGAACAAAATAAATATCATAGCATTTACTCGAAATGAAAGTGAACTTCGTAATTGGTTTTTTTTTTTTGTTCCCTTTTTTGCAAGATTTACGACATTTTCTAAAATCTCACTCAAATTTAAAACTTCGTCTTCTATCCATTAATCCGGAAAAAGGAAAGTTGATGACTTAGTAATCTGCTAATGTAATGATTTCAATATTCATTCATCATCCGATAGATTATATTTTAATAATTTAGCAATGCTATGAATTTTTCATTATTCTTTCTTGCAGTTTATTTACTATAGTATAATTACTAGCCTGGCTTATTTTACTGATTATTATTCCAAAAAGTTATCAATCAGATTTCACAATCACTTTTATTTGTTTTGTTTCTAAGTAACTGTCAATGTATTGTAATATATGTGCTATTAGTATAAAACAATGTATTCCAGTCAAATATGATATTAAAGTGAAGTATATAATTATATCCTGAACTGTAATTTGAAATTATCAACCTTCTCATTAAGCTTCATTATATTTAATTGCGATAAACTTGGACAAAATGGTATTGAT